AAGTCTGAACTTGACTGGATACAAGTGTGAAGCTGTGTGATTTTTTTTTTTTTTTTTTAGCCATTCTCTTTGGCCATTCTCTGTTGAATCTTCCTGCTGTTTATTCCGGACAGATTCTATACTTTTCCATTGTTTGGGAAAATAGGCCAATCTACTATAAATCCCCAATCAAGTGTTCAATTTAGGGGAAAAAAAAAAAAGGAGGAGTAGATTGAACTGTGGAGGAAGGGCAGTTGCAATAGAACTATCTTGTCCCAGACCCCTTACCAGCCTCCTGAGTTCTTTTTGTCCAGCACTAAGAGGGACCCTAAGGGAGGAGGAGAACCAGGAAGAGATTTGAATCAGTGTGAGATGAGGGAGGCTCACTCCTGCCTGAAGGCTGCCATAATGGCCTGGTGCTGAAAGTTAGGCCAGCAGTTTTGCTCTTGCCCAATCCTTCTCCTCAAAATCCCAAATCTCAATTGTAATCTCCTCCAGAGCCTCTAGAGTTGGGTGTTTTCTAGGCACCTAGACAAATAGCAGAGCAAACCCCTTGGATTTCCTTTATCTATGCACCTTATTCTGATTAACCCATTTTTGTCACCCTGCAGTTGCATTGCCAGGACATAGGAGCTCGAAAGCACTGAATCATTATTTTCTTCTTCTAGCTTGTTCAAAGTCTCTTTCCTACAGCCAGTACACATAGCCTCTTACTACTAGGGTATTCTTGCCTAGCCAATATTCCTTGGCATGAGTTGCAGAAAAATAACTCAGCCGTGCTCATGGCCAACTCATTTCTCCTTGTCACATCAAAAGTAGAGGTGCAGGACATTCGGTGGCCCTCTCTTCACCCTGCAACTTCTAATTCTCTTTGCCACCTCCTCAAAAAGACTCAGGACAGTAAAATCAGCAAATGTGCTACAGATAGACTTCCAACTGCACACCATCCTACTAAAGTGCTCTGTGGGCATGAGAACACACAACAGCAGTTGTGTGATGAGGCCAGTGACTCATGACTTCAACAACTCTCTCTCTCCCTGTCCTAATTTCCTGCTTACATAGAATTCACAAGAAAACATAGATGGAGAAGATGGCTGAGGATAGGGTTCAGAGCAGCAGAATAACTTCAGGTTTCTTTTTAAAATTTGCATATAGTTAAGTTCAACTTTTCAAGGAACATACAGTTCTATGCGTTTCGACAAATACCTAGACTTGTATAACCATCACAACACTCAGGTATAGGACAGCATCATCACCTCCAAATATTCCTCCGTGCTTCCCCCCTATACTCAAGCCCTCCCCTCCCTTAAGCCTTAGCAACTACTAATTTGCTCTCTGATCCTGTAGTTGTATCCTAGAATATCATATAAATGAGATTGTATGTAGCCTTTTGTCAGGCTCCTTACACTTAGCATAACACATTCAAGATTCATCCATGCTGGTGCTTGTTTCAGTATATTGCTCCTCTGCAGTGCTGGGTAGTACTCTGTTACATGATTATACCACAATTGTTTACCCAGGCACCAGCTGAAAGGCATCTTTTCCAATTTTTCTAAATTATGAATAAAACAGCTATGATCACTCATTTACAGATTTGGGGGGAGGAGATAGCTAGGTCAAATGTCAACTATAAGTTTAACTTACGAGAAACTCCCTACTTTCTAAAGTGGCTGCACCACTTTTCATTCCTACCAGCAATATGTGAGAATTTCAGGTCTTCTGCAACCTTACCAGCACTTGATACTCAATCATATTGTCTTCTTTTTTTTTTAATTTTAGAAATTTGAATAAATGTATAGTGGCATCTGGTGATTTTCATTTCTTTAATTACAAGTGATGTTAAGATCTTTTCATGTGTGCTGTGGTCTTGCATATAATTGAGGGAATAATCAAGTTCAAGTCCTTCAGTGTAACCTCTCAGTGTTTTGCATAGATTTGTCTATTTTTCATCTTAGTTCCATTAGTTTTTGCCTCGTATTTAGAAGCTCCAGTTTTAAGGAAGTACATATTTAGGATTGCTTCTTTTTAGTCAACTTACCATTTTTTAAAAGATTTTATTTATTTGCTTATTTATTTATTTATTTATTCATTCATTCATTCATTCATTCATGAGAGACACAGGCAGAGGAGGAAGCAGGTTCCCTGCTGGGAGCTGGATGTGGGACTTGATCCCAGGACCCCAACATCACGACCTGAGCCAAAGGCAGATGTTCAACCACTGAGCCACCCAGGCATTCCTCAACTTACCATTTTATCATCTTTGATGTTTTTCTTTATCCCTAGTAATTTTTCTGGTTGTGAACTCTATGATGTTTGAAATTAATATAGTCAGTCCAGGTTTCTTGTCATTAATGTTTGCATAGTACATTTTCCCCCATGATTTACTGCTAACATATCATATTTAAAGTAGGATAATAATAAATAGCTAAAAGCTGGTCTTCAATTTTTATTGGCATTTTGCTTGTCCAATCTGACAATTATTGTTAATGTGCTTAGACCATTTATGGTTAATGTAATTATAGATATGCTATTGATCCATAGTTATTCAAATACTGTGATAGTTTTCTTTGAGTTTTTTCCTGTTTGGTGCTAACTGACCTTCTTGATACTGTAAGTTCATGTCTTTCATCTAATTTGGGTATTTTCAGACAATATTTCTTCAAAATTTTTTTCTGCAAGTCTCATTCATCTATTTTTCTGGTACTTCAGTAATGTGAATGGTAGATCATTTGATGTTCCTCCACAGGAGTCTGAGGCTCTGTTGATTTTTCTAAAATATTTTGCCTGTTATCCCAATGTGATAATTTCTATTGATACACCTTTAAGCTCATTGGCTCTTTCATGTCACTTCCATTCTGCTATGGATCTCATCCAGTGAATTTTTTCATTTCAAATACTGTATTTTTCATTTCTCAACTTTATATTTGCTTCTTTTGATGGTTTCTTATTTTGTGCTATCTTTTTTCTTTCCATTCATTTTAAGAGTGCTTAACTTTACCTCATTGATTATGGTTATAATAACAGTTTTAAAGTCTAACTGATAATTCTACTTTCCAGTTAATTTTATGTTTGACATCTGATTTTCCTTTTTCTTTAAAGTTTGGCAAATCTTTCTGGCTCATTTTTGTTGAGAAATTTTGGGTTGGACTATACGTGGACATTTAGAATGTTATGTTTAAGACTATGGGCCCTATTCATATTTTCAGGAGACAGTGGAAGGAGCATATTGCTGATGTTATAGCAAGCAGTCAACTCAGGTTCAGATTGCAGGTCCTTCCTCACATTCTGTGTATGGTGGTTTCAATGTCAGTTGAGTTTTCAAAGCCTTCATTGTATTGTTTGGGTCAGACTCACTCATGTGTCACTCAGGGGTTGACCTGGGACTTAGAGATTTATATTGTCATTCAGGACTCAGAGACTTTGCTTTGTTTCTCTGGATCTATTCCACCCATGTACCTACTTCCTAGGAGGAACCAAGAACTTATGTCAGTTTATACACAGAATTAGGGTATTGCCTTCCCTAGCAGTCTCCTGCCAGGAATTTCCCACATTCTGTCTCCAAGGGGCATCCTTTGGGCCTGGAAAACATGTTTAATCTCTGTATATTTTATAATGTATAATTAATAACATCCTCAAAGAGTAAATATTTCTGGTGGTTTCCTGGCCCCTAGCCCCACATTTCTCCTCATCTCCACAGTACTGACCATCTCAATAGAGTGTGACCAAAAGAGGAGGATATAAGTATAAATGGCAACTTCCAGAGGAGGAAAAAAAAATGTTATTTTACCATGACTAATGCCAGAGAATGTTTCCTAGACCATAAACACTATATACAAATTTATTTGTGACACAGTGATTGTCTCCACCTGCCTGAGGCCCTCAGAAACATTCTATTAGAGGCAACTGGGTAAGATTTGTGAATAAATTTGAATTATCATTGGAGAAGTCTGCTCATGGTCAGCTAAAACCAGGAGCATAAATATATTATACATTGTTTGCAATCTCCTGTTTGTTTAATACGACAAAACAAGTATTGGACCTCTAAATTTGTAAATAACATGGGTAAAATAAATTCACATACTACAAACAAAATGACCAGATCTTTGAAGTTCTACAGAATGAAAATGACTTTTTATTGAATGTCATTGTGGATTTTTCTAAAATGTTGATTTTTCCCCCAGCACCCAATTCCATATTCTATTGTACTGTGTGACCTGAGATAGAACTCTCTTAGACAACATTGATATTTGTGATATGGGATATTACCCTTAACATTGATGAGCTTTGGGTTAACAGCAGAGAGCTTGCTAAGAAATTTGAGAAGTAATGGTCTCTGCTTAAATCCAAGAGCACTGAAAGGCCACTGGACTCTCTTCAGAGTTCCTAGACACAGAAACCCTCCTATAAATGAATATTTGTATCAGTGACCTAGCATAGACATTTATTCACTGTAAAGGGAAAGGAAGAAAATTCAAGGTCACGGCAGGAAATGCTTTCCTAAAAAGATCAAAAGCCAACAGTTAAGAAGACAAAGCAATACAGAGAATTATATGTGCCCACATATGGTCTTTGGAGTATTTTTATATTAGAGAGGAAAGTGGAAACAACCTAAAAATTTAGTTATAGAGAAATAATTAAGTTAATTATGGCCCATAGACACAAAAGATTAATATGCTGCCAGTAAAAAGTGTTTACAAGAGGCTTTATTGGCATAGCAGAGTCTTTATTTTCTAATATAAAGTGAAAAGGATACATATATACATGTATACATATAAGGTATATATATATATATATATACATATAAAATGTGTGTGTGTGTCACAAGCTTGCTTTACAAAACTAACTCTGGGAATAACTGGCAGCTTGGAGATATTTTAAGGGCTTTATGAATCAGCTACATAGCTGAACTTATCCATTCTGTTATGATACCATAAAACACAAAAGTTAAGTATAGGTAGCCAAAAGAAATATTATTAAATGAGTCACTTAAGCTTTTAGTGAATAACTAAGCTAGACTATAATGGAATAAATAGCAACCCAGAATCAATGAAACTGCCTGGGGTGAGCAGTGTCTATGAGTTCACATAAACCAACAGCTCTGAGCGCTTAGGAAAACAAATGGTATAGCTACGTGATTCCATTTTATATCATGGAGAAGAATTTGACCAGGTGCCAAATTACTACTAATTATGTTACTTGAACCCAACCCTGGAATTCTTAGAAAAATTGGGGCTCTGGTGACATATCACCTTCCCTGTTCTCACTGTAAACTATCTAGGAGAGAAAAAATGCAGAGAGAAGTACCAAAAAAAATATTGATACCAGAATTAAGTAGTAAATGCTCACCAAGAGGTAAATAGATAAATAAGTAGTACCATATTCAGAGACTAGATTACTGCTTAGCAATAAAAAGAATGAACTATTGATACATACAACATGGATAAATCTCAAACACATTATTCTGTTCAAAAAAAGCCAGACACAAAACGTTGCATAGAGTATAATCCCAAAACTCATCTCTGATGACAGGAAGCAAATCATTGGTTTCCTGAGATGGGGTTAGAGGAGCATAGAGGCTAACTGCAAAGGGACGAAGGAACTTTCTGGAAATGTCCTATGTCTTGATTGTGGTAGTGGTTACATCAGCATTGTAAGAGATGCAAATTGTTGCTTCTACCATCTTAGGGCTTTTCAGCTGGACATGAGAATTAAATTGACATCAAACAGATTAACAGGAGAAAAGCACACACATTTGTATAAGCTTTACCTAACACGGGAACCTTCATAAGGAGTGAAGACCCGAAGAAGTGGCTTTGATAGTAGGTTGAACAAAGAGAAGCAATTATTAAAAAGTAACTACACTAGGTGGGGAGAGGCCAGAGGAAGCAAAGAGTAATTTTAACAAGGTCTGTTTGTGTAGAATTCTCTAGGTCTCCACTTCTCATCCTTGGTAAGAGGAATTTCCTTTGCTTCTGGTGCTGGAAGAACATCTTTCACGTGGGAATTTCATCTCCTGTTTTTAAGAAAAAGAAAGATCAGGGTGTTTTTCTTGTATTTGCTATTTTTCAAGTGCCTCTAACTCAAAATAACACTCGTACCACAGTGACGTATTTTGGGGCGGCATACTCTGCCACCCTCAGTGTGTATATGTATTTGTCAAAAGCCAGTGAATTATGCATTTAAAATAGGTACATTTTTATTCGATGTAAGCTAATACCACAATACAATTTGATAGAATTTTAAAAATAGTTTAGTAGCCCCAAAAAGCCAGAAGAGTTAGCACATGCTAAATAGAATTATGAGGTTCCATTACATTTGAAAAGTAACGGTCATTGTATTTACCAAAGCATTTCCCTGTCGCATGAAGGTCTGAGTGGAGTTGCCAGAGATGGCTGTTTTCAGTCTTAACTGCACATCAAAACCACCTGGAGATAGATGATATAGATAGATGATAGATAGATAGATAGATAGATAGATAGATAGATAGATAGATAGATAGATGATAGATATTTTTTTTATTCTGATTAAGTGGCACTGGGGATGCAGGCTGGCCACAGAGATTTTTCAAAGCTCCCATTGTGGAGCTGGGATGGAAGACCACCTAGGTCATCTGACACCCCTTCACCTGCCCACAGCTCCTATAGCAGAGAATGTGGCTCTGTAGTTGAGCTTACCTCGCGGGTATCCCAAGTGTTTCCTAAGGTCAGGGAGGTGCCTAAGTTCAAACCTTGGGGAGTCAGATGAGGCAGTTGCTGGGACTATCCTATTTCAGTAGGAGGTTCAGAGAGGAAAACCAAATCACTCTCACATGTTCACCTGGGCGCGTACTGTTCACTAAATTAAATTACTTAACTAGACTCAGGGGTCCTGAGAACAAAGATGAGTCATTTCAACTCCCCTATTTGAGTGTTGCTGATATGTTAATCCTTCCATAGAAAAATAGGGTAGGATGGGGTCCAGGGAAATCATGTATTTTATTTCAAATGTATTTTATTTCATTTTGTCAGAATGAAGGAGAAGAGTGAAATGTATCAGGACAAAGAAATGAATGTAAAGATGCAAAACCTAGGGTCTTTTACTGGCCCTCCAAAAATGGAGGAAGAAGCTAATATGTACTGAGGACTGCTAGGTGCCAGGCACTAACATGCATTACCTTATTCAGTCCTCACTTTCCTTACTGAATATCATGTACCAAGAGCATTGTTTTGCCCATTTCGTGATTCAACTCCTGTGCTCATTAACCTGGGCTCAAGGTCTCTCAGTAATGGCAGAGCTATGTCTTGAGAATTCACTTTCCCTAAAACCTATGTGTGATTTTGCTACTATGCCATACTGCCCTGAAAACTGATAATAATAATAGCAGTACTACCCAAAATAATATTTATTAAGAGTCTCCTTTGTGCTGGGAACAGATTTAAGATTCTATCTATATCTCAGTATCCGTATCCAGACCTGTATTTATACAGATAGAGATTTATAAAAGCCTATTTAACCTTAACAACTGTAAGAGGTAAATGCTATTATTATCCTCGTTAAACAGGATACAGCTAAGGTGCAAAGAGGTTAAGTAATTTTCTCAAGGGTACCACGCTACAGAAAATAGACATTATTTAATGATAATCCTCTCCTAAAAATCACCTGACCTAACAAGGCAGCCAGGAAAAAAAGATAAGAGAATTTTGCTAACCTCTCAACCTCAATACTCAATACAACTATGATTTTTAAATATTGCCTCTTTTCCATCCAACTTTGCAAACTTGTGATCGCCCATTTTGACTTGAGCGATTACGGTATATGGGAAAGGGCTAGTTATCACAAACTCCGATTTGCAAGATCAGTGTGAATATTATTACCCATCATTTTAAAAAATCATGGATTAGCAAGCTGGAAAAATACTTATGACAGCTTCTACAGAAAAAAAAAAAAAAAAAAAAAAAAAAAGCAATGCATTGTGTCTGACATGGTGAAAGGGACCAAAGAAAGTAGAGCTTAGAGCAAAGATTGTCAGCTGGAATTGACTATGGAAAAATGGGGCCTGCCTTCTTTATCAGATCCGCTTCCAAGCAGCAAGTCAGGGCTTCCCATTTCACCGACATATGCAAGTTCTTACCTCGCTAAGCCCTCTGGGGCAGTCGCAAGCGTGGAAATGGGAACGAGGGCCAGCCCTGCCTCGTACATCATCAGCACAGCTGTCGGCTGAGTCCTCACCCAGGAACTTTTATTCATAAGATACAATCAGAACTGGAGCAGAATCACAGAATTCATCATACCAAAGGCATTTTTACGTGAATGTATTTTCATATGCATCTACTCAGTGGTGTTGCATATAAGTAGAAATTATTCCAATATCAAAGAGAGATGATTTGAATGATAACTGGTGCAGTTTACCAACTTAAACTCTTATTGGTTATAATCCGCATTTAAAAGTCACCCACATTCATTCAGTTATTTACACACTTTCGAATCCAGACCCCAGGCTCAATCTGGGGGCACGGAACCTCCCTGGCTCCCATGCTGGGTTGGGCCCTGGGGGTGTCTTCCATGAGGACACTTGTCCAGGTGTCTTGGGCCTGGCAGGGGTGCTTCTCCCTTCCCTGCTCTTCCAGCAGTGCTGCAGGCAGGGCAACAGGACCACATCCCCTCCATGCGTAGCCCCTCCCAGAGCCCCGGCTGTCCCATCACCAGGGGAATCTCCCTTCTTGGATTCCTCTTTGCTAGATGGCACTGGTTTATGAACCTTTTTATACCCCTTGGAGTTAGACATAAAAGAGTTCTTTTCCTTCCCCATCTCTCCTTTTATTCCCACTTTATCAAATCCACATTTTCTCTTTATGACATCTTGGGGAGATTCCAAAGTATTTAGTGAATTTTCATTATTAATATTGGTTTGGACCAGTTTTAAATTTTAATTTTATACGCACTTCAATGCTCTCTGCCCCCCTCCCCCAAGTGAGACTTTGGGCTGAGGACACAGTGTGCATGTTGAGTGGGAGGCTTGCACACACCACTCTCCTTCCATCCTAGGCTCTGCCTCTTCTGAGGTTGAGGAACAGGTGGAGTAGGAGGAGGCAGTGAGAGCAGAAACATCATACTTCCTTGGCCATAGAGACCTGCCTCTTCTTGTTGGCTGTGGCTACTTCTCTGGCCTTCACCTTCTAGCCTTCAGAACCTCCAGACCTTGGGTTAGGCCTCCTATTACTGGAAAGCATAGGGGTGAGTTATCACAGAGCCTTGAGTTTTCTCCATACCCTACAGTTCCCTGAAGTGGAAATCCAGCTCTATCTCTACCCTAATACAGCCCCCCAGCCCCAAAGCCTCTGTGCAGGGGCATTCCCCATGACCTCTGCTGCTAGTGGTGCTTTGCCTAGCAGGCATCCCTCCAGGGGGTATATCAGAACACCTGCTCAAGCCCAGCTACCTTGTGCAGCACCCCCTGGATGCGTGGGTTCATCTTCACCAAGCCAAATGGTGAAGCATACTCATCTTCCCTGCCACCCTACCCTCTGTTTCTCCTGCTCGGTAGGCACAGGGGCTAATCAGCGAGATCTTATCCAACCAGAAAATCAAAATCTCCTCTCCTTGCAGGGCATATACCTCTAATCTCTATAAGTGCCCTCGAGGATTTTGCACCTTTCTTGCTTTAGACAGAAACATAAAATTCTCGTTCCCTCCTCTGTGAGGAAGGAAGGAGACAACCTCATTCCCCAGAATGCTATCTCCACAAAACTGCCCCCAGTGACCCTCTCCTCTCCCAGTCTTCTCAGTATGTAGACAAGAGGGGCAGTGAGGCTGGGCTGTCAACAGGTGAGATCAGAGATGCTTCTGCCACATTTTAATAAGCCCTGGATTGCAAGTATTGGACCTCACGTTGCCAGATAAAATACAGGAATCTCAGTTAAATTTACATTTCAGATTTTTTAAATTGTTTTTGTAAGATTATATCCCAAGTATTGCATGGGACATACTTATTGAATAGACAACTTTTCAGTATGCTGCAGCATTTAGGACTTATTTATACTAAAAGTAATTTATTATATATCTGGAATTTAAATTTAAATGGCTATCCTATATTTATTTTTATTGGCAGATTCCGGCAAACCTAGTTGGGTCCCCTGTGTTAGTCTTTGGCAGCTCTTTAGAATGTGAGGTACTATGGTTTTCAGATTTGGCCAACAGGCAACATTCTGGGACAAATGAAAAATCCCCATCAGCAACCTCTCACACATGGATTGATTTCCAGTTTTCCCTCTTCACCGCAACAGGGCCACTCTGTCCTTTCTTGTCTGTGCTCACCTGCTTTAAGTCCCAGAAAGATTGCTTGAGAATTTGCCATGCACTCCAGAGGGCGACCACAAACCTGCCATACTCTTCAGGACTCATGCAACTGCTCTGCTTACCACGTCCATGGAGATTTGAAAACCAACCCACAAGCACTCCTTGGAGATGATGATCTGCTGGGTTTGCTGCTTGAGTTCTATAGGGGAAGAACAACTTCCTTCTACCCTCTTAGGTTTTGTGATTGGCCTAAGAATTGAAATGATGCAAGTCAGATGAGCAAGAAAAGCATACAGCATACAAATAAATTTAATATTTTTAGGTATACATGGGAGCTTTCAAAAAGAAAACAAAAACCTGAAGAAGCCATTAGGCTCAAAAGCTAACAGCCCCTTTTTACATCAAGAACAATAAATTGAGGTGATGTCACAAAACAGAGGGGCCTAGGTTGCAGGGAATAAATAGTGTGGTGGTGACCAGGAAGTATATGGGGGAAACTAAGGGTGAAGAAGGATTATTTGGGGGAGGTTTGTTTGTACAGGCCCATTTTGGCATTGACTCCCATTTTGGCATTAGTCTCTGGTGGCAAGAATATTCTTATCTTCCTGGTATGGGGAAGGCAATTTTCTCACAGGAAATTCAATGTCAGCTTCTAGGTAGGAAAGGTGAGGCCAGAGAGACCTTCCTGTATCTGCTGTTTCCCAAGTGCCTTCAGCTCAAAATAATCAGTATGCCAAAGCATGGGATGCCTGGGTGGCTCAGCTGTTGAGCATCTGCCTTCGGCTCAGGGAGTGATCCCAGGATCTGGGATCGAGTCCCACACCAGGCTCCCAATAGGGAGCCTGCTTCTCCCTCTGCCTGTGTCTCTGCCTCTCTCTCTGTGTCTCTCATGAATAAATAAATAAAATATTTTTTTTTAAAATATACCAAAGTAGCATATTTGGCAATGGCATGATCTGATTACCTTTAATTCACAGCTTCCTGAATCTTCAGCCACGCAAAGATGCTGACATCCACAGTTACAAGAATATGTGCCTATAGTAGATTTGATTTATCCAACTACAGGTCACCATGGACAAACTTGATTAACTGTGAACTGTCTGACAACAGGCCCCGAATGAGTTTGGCCATGGTCACCAGGTAGCAACCAGGGTGGACTGGGACACCTGACAGTTGGCATACAGCAGTTTGGTGGTTGGCATATAGCATAGAGGATATTCTTTGGCATTCATGCCTCATTTTCAGATCTGTTTGGACCAAATATCCTAGCTCTCTATTTATTTTCCTCCTTGAGGTGGATTGTGTCAGTGCTCCACCCTCAAGTCCTTATACCATTTCCATGTCCCAATCCCAGGTTCTGATTCAGTTGACTTTGAACACACTGAATCTGTGACTGATTTCAGACATCTCTTTCATGCTGTTGGAGGTGTTTTGCCCACAGAGGGAAAAAAAAAAATCAGAAATGTCAGTTTCCATCCCACCTTGTCTCTGGAGCCCTTGACTTGTGGGTGACGAGACCGGATCCCAGCCCTCTTCCCTCCTGGATATCCAACTCTGAGGTATCCTTCATACCCTGAGCTCCCCTGAGCATTCAGATAAAGCTGCTCTCTCTGGGACTCTACTGTTAATGCCACCTGTTGGTCTTCCTCTCCTCCCTGCCCTTCTGCTCCACTGCCTTACTATTCTCCATCATAGGACTTCCTTAATAAGTCATTTGCACATAACATTTTAAAAATATTTATTTATTCATGAGAGAGACACAGAGAGAAACTCAGAGACATAGGCAGAGGGAGAAGCAGGCTCCCCACAGGAAGCCCGAGCCCCAAGATCACACCCTGGGCCGAAGGCAGACGCTCAACACTGAGCCACCCAGGCGTCCCTGCACATAACTTCTTACCTCGGGGTATGCTTCCACAGAAGGAGCCTAGTCTAAGACATTCCCTTTTGACCAAAAGGCAGAATAACACAGAGGGGATAGTACTAGAGAAAGCCATTGCCCTTGAATTCTTACCCTTTTCCACCAGGATCTTCCATTCATGTGCTCAAGTTCCCTCTCACTAGTGTTAAATTAAAGCACTCAGAATAAAAGCTCTACAAAAATGAAATAAAAAGCGTTCATTTTTTGGAACGTTTATACGGATAGAGTTTTTGGAAAGGAAAGGGCACTCTAATACACTTCCAGAAGCTAAGATAATTAGTTCTAAGAGGAAACTCAAGAGTTTCAAAGTCATGATTTTGGCAGAAAGAATCGAAACACATGGAAAGAACATCAAAAGTGTAATTTTCTAGAGTAGTTGGATAATTGTGGAAGTACTGTGGGGAGGAGTCACTTTCTAATTAGTAGAAAACTTCCAAGAATCCCATGCTGTACTGATGAAGCATTCTTATGAAAAAATCCAACTGAAATCCAGCTCATAAGCAGTGAGAACTTTTTTTCCTTTTAATTTTTTATTTAAATGGTGCCTGGCTGGCCCAGATGGTTAAGCGTCTGACTCAGGCCATGATCTCCGGGTCATGAGATGGATCCTGGCAATCAGGCTCTATGCTCAGGGAGAAGACTGCTTGGAATTCTCACTCCTCTCCCTCTGCCCCTCCCACTCAAGTCTCTCTCTCTTTCCCTCCCTCTCTCTCTCTCCCTAAAATAAATAAATAAATCTTTTTTTTTTAAGAAATATTTTTTTTTTTTTAAATTTAAGAGGATCATAGTTGGGCAGGCCATATCCTATGAGAAGCCTCTGTGTGCCCACAATTAAGTTGGAATCTACTCGGAGGGCACTTTGGGAGAGAGAAGGGAGGGCAGTACTTCACACTGCCTCTGACAAAAGAGCCAGTCAGCTCCCAGCCTGCCTCCTGGATAAGCCAGGTGTCTTGGGTTGGGTTCCGCAGATGCAGAGCAGGGATTCTTAGGTCTGTGATTCTTAGGCCTATGAAGCAGGGATTCTTAGGCCTGTGATTTACTGAGGGGACACCCTCAAGTGAAACTCAGAGGGAAATGAGGGATCCAGGATAAGGCAGATGAAAAGTCTTAGCAAGGGGTACCTGGGTGGCTCAGTGGTTGAGCATCTGCCTTTGGCTTGGGTCATG